TAGAGTCCTTCCCTTGGTGGGCTCTGTCTTTTGAGTGTGTGACCCTGTCCTAAGCTGACGCTCCTGCTTATGAATGGAAACTGCTTTAGTCTTCTTGACTTGAAGCACTTTGAACTGGAATGTCACACAATGCCACTCAAAGTGATGGTGAATTCTGTGTGTGAGCTTCTCCAGGTGAAAGTGTGCAACAGTATTTTCCTGTGTGTGAGCTTCTCTGGGTGAAAGTGTGCAACAATGCTTCTGGTTAGTTCCGGAAAACATCAGTGTTCATGTCGGTAGACAGAACCCAAATCTTCTCTCACCACTGTGTGTGGAGAGCACCAATGGACAAGAAAGACAGCAGCCATCTGCTTCTGCCCTTGGATGTCAGACATCTTAGGTCCTTGGGCCTTTGGACTCTGGTGCTGACACCCAGACCTCCAAGTGTGATGCTCTGGCTTTGGGCCTTGAACTGAGGTTTCATCATGAATTCCAGTTCTGTCCCTTCGACTTGGGGCAGAACAACACAGTGGATGAGCCAATTGCCTCAACATGTCTCCCCAAGAATCTCTCTGTGTACACAGTTTTGCTGTGTTTGTCAGAGGACCCGGATGGGCACACCCACCCCTCTGAAGAGTTGGCAGAGTTGCCTCTCTGTGTTCCTGCCATCAAAGCCAGGGGTCTTGTTTTCCTGTAAACACCTCAGAACTGGCACATTGGGATGTCCCTTGTTACTTTCTACCTGTCAAACTGGCCCCTGCAAGACAGCCTTGCCTGTTCCCAGTGGTCGCTGGGCCTGCTCCTACAACACAGGTACACAAGGCCCATGCACTATCAAATGAGATACTCTAAACACAGAGATGCCATCCATTTGCCTTGGCAAATCCCAAGGCCATCGCTCTTGTCTTCATCCAAGCTTGACAGCCAAGTGCACGGCTCACCCCTCCCATACTGGACGAGAAGCCATGATGGGTTTGTTTTGCCACGGACAACGGCCCATGTTTGATTCAGCTTCTTTTAATAAGACCTCGTTCAGACACAGAGATGGGTTACCAACTTCCCCATCAATCTTCAGGGCCAGATCTTATTACAAACCACCACAAATATAACCATAAAAGCCCTGTTGATTGATGTGGAGCTTGGTAATCCATCTGTCCCCATCCGTTATTCTGGGCATAATTTTTCATTATCTGTGTGGCAGCTGATTTCTAGCACATTAGTATACAGTGGCAATTACCAGGAGCAGAAAGAGCCCCTAAATTAGCAGGGACAATAACACCTGTCAGGACAGGGAAGCAAGCATTCCCACACTGCATGCTTCTGGACTCCAGGGCCACATCCGAATTCAAAGAGTTACAAAGTGCAACTCAGGATTGACCTTGAGAGTGGAGGAGAGAAAGTCCATAGCTTTAAAAAAAAAAAAAAAAACTTCATCTGGGGAATGTGTGTTTCTTTGAGGGAACATTATTGTCAAGCTGATCACACTGATCACAGCCTGCCTGACAGCTGGAGTGGGGAAAGCTCAAGGATTGCTTTGTACAGGGTCAGTGGGTTTATGAGGCAGATGTCCCCACGTGTGTTATTTAAGGGCCACCAGAGACTTAGCCAGAGGGAACTGATTCAAGGTATGAGTGTTGAGAGACACTGGCAAAAAAAAAAAGTTGGGGAATTTCCACCTGAGGATCTGACATCCACACAGCAGGCAGAAGCCTTTCCAGAGACCAGAGTGACAGGTCCCTAAAGACCTGGGTAGTCTCCTTTAATGTTTTTAATATTAATTGTCATTTATATATGTGCATGCATGTGTGTATTCACACGCACGCACAGACAGACGTGCATCTGGAGGACAGGACAACCTTGGTGTCATCCTCAGGAATGCACTGGGGATACAATACCCTGCACAGATGCACTCCCTGCACTGAGAATACACCACACTGCGCCAAGCCCAGCCTTTGTATGTGCATTCAAGGGATCAAACTCAGGTCCCTATGCTTGCAAAGCGTGTTCTGTATTGCTGGAGCCCTGCTGCCTCTCTGATGTGGTCTTCCTCATTCACAAGACACCGGTTCATTTCAGTGTGAATGGAGACAATTGAGGCAGACAGACACATGGCTGAAATATTTCTGAGTGCCGCTGAAGAGATTAAATCTGTCAATTTCTCTGTGAGTTTTGATTTTCAAAAATCAAAAGTCCTATCAAATTGAGTTGTCTAGAGACCCATCATGCAAAGTGGCTATGTCAAACGGCTGCACGGGGGCAGACCGAATCTAGCACAGTGAGTGCCGCTGCTGGAAAACTTGATCCCAGGGTGATGGTATGGGAAGTGCTGGGACCTTCGGGAACTGAGGTCTTAGGGGAGGTACTTAAAACACTGGTTGATGTCCTCAGATGGGACCGTGAGATCTAAGAGCCGGCACGCCCCTCCCTCTCTCTCTCTTCTCTGACTCTGTAACTGTATTACCCATGATATTCTCTAGCCATTACCATCCATCATGATGTGATGGAGCTGTTACCAGAACGAGGCTGATTGAGGTACCACTTCCTTGAGCTGGAGAAACCTTTTCTCTTTATAAAGTCAGCGACCTCCAGTATTTTATTGCAGTAATGCAAGCTGACTGTAAATAATAATATACCAATATAATAACAGTATTATATTACAATAATATTAATAATGTTATTATAACATAATAAAATAATGATAATATACTAATATACATATAATACAAGCTGACTACACTTCCTATAAAGCCTAAAGCACTTCTTAATTTTATCTTCTGAACAAAGATTTGCCTACATTAGCTCCATCTGAAGATGAGTGAACCGCTTCTGGCATCCAGAGATCAGTTCGAAAACCAACCACAGATTCTATAACCATCGTATAATTTCCCATGTGGCTCTGTTCTCTTCTTAGTAGACAGCCTTCCAATGGAAGGGCAAGGCTTTCTTTTTAGATGCCCCACAATCCAAACTGCTTCCCATAAAGATTATTTGGGGCCGTCATTGTTCAACCATCATAACTATAGGGTCTGTAGGGTCTTTTCATAGCTCTTGCTTCTGAAACAGGAGGCCAGAAGCTAGACTGTGTCTTCTGGACACAGCAGAGAAGCTTCGTTATTTGGGGCCGTCATTGTTCAACCATCATAGCTGTAGGGTCTGTAGGGTCTTTTCATAGCTCTTGCTTCTGAAGCAGGAGGCCAGAAGCTAGACTGTGTCTTCTGGACACAGCAGAGAAGCTTCACCCATGTAATCTCAACAGTATGGCTGCGTAAGCAAGACCTGCATGGTGGCACCCCCAGTCAACAGGCCAAGGTGTCAGGCAAAATTTCACAAGGCCCCACCTCTAGATTAAAAACCACATGTAATCAATGTCTCCTAAAAGAGCGATAGGCAGGCTTCTCCAGGGACC